TCGCGCCCTCGACTCACCTTCGTCTCTCTCGCACGAGTACTCTTTGATCATTACTAGCCTTCATTAGGTCACGAAGCCCCGCCTTCCCGAAACCAAGCCAGTTGAATCAAATGGTACGCATGCCGCAACATTCAGAATCGTAGGGTGCGACTCTGCGTCCCTGCCTTGGCGGGGATCGTCGAATTTCGAATTTCAATCCTTCGCAAAATGCATGTTCTCGCCGTTTTCGCGCCTTTTAATGTGGATTTTCAGATTCAGCGTTGCGGATAATTGGGTGGATTTTCTAAAAATCGAGTTTTTGCCCGGGCTTTTAAAGGCAGTGGATGGGCAAAATCCAACAGCTCAGGATTTTAACGCGGTAGGTTCCTTATTGCTCAAGTATGAAAACAGTGCAATCCCGGTTGCAGAGCATGCTTTCCTTGCCGAGAAAATGGCTCTCAAACTTACACGCGCAGGCCAATCCTACACGCATCTGGACGAGTTGGCAATTTCCTTTTCACCATTGGAAGCTGCCCGCCGCGACGCTACAACCATTGGGTTCTACAACGATTTAGCGTCATCGGCCTTGCTTCATTCGTCCAATTCCAAATGGAAAGGCATTAGAAAACGCTTATTTTCGCCGTTTTCAAGCTTTCAAAAGTAGATTTTCGGGATCAGCGTATTGAAAAACCCCAGGTAAGCGCAAATTTGACTAGCTTGAGATTTGCCGAGCCACTGCCTTTAAGGGGAAGTTTTCTTTGCAAGAGCAGCATGCTGTAAGCTCGGACCTGCTCTAATCTCATGTTTGAAGTGCAAGCAACTTGCCTGTCAAAATTTCGGGATGTTCGGTTTTGACGAGCTGCTGCTTTCAAAGGCATTTGAGATGCGTTAAAGGCACCGTTCACAGTAAGTCGAGGGCAGGATCAAGCAAGAGGTGTGGCATACGATCGCTGGTTACGACCACCCCCCCCTCATTGCTGTCTTAATAAGACCCCCTGAACTATATTTACCTAAGATAGCATTACTTGAAGGCCCTGTCAAACATAACGGGCAACATGTCCATAATCAGCTGTCAATTAACCCTTGTAGACAATGTTTCAGCAAATTCTGAAGTTTCAAGATACTGGCTCACCTAAGTGCAATCGCCATTTTCCAGCATGATTAACTTTGTTTCATAGGTGAAGTAGCTAGTCGTTTTTGCACTCAAGACAAAGCACTACTCCTTTGGCCACTACAGAAATCTCGCTTCAAAAGACTCCCTAATTTTAGAATTAGAAGCCAACCAAAATCTTGCTTTTATTATTTTTCGCTTTCAATGACTGTGCTTTCACCAAATATTGCTCAGAGCTAAGAAGACGAATCAGGCTCAAATCATTCCTATGAAATCTACGAGGTCTAGGCTATCGATTCATATAAATATCGTTCGCTAAAAATGTTTTTTTATATAGTTAATGGGGTGTGGCACCACCCCTAAAAAGCTGTGGCTGCCATAGCTTTTTAGGGGTGGTGCCACACCCCACTAACTTACCTTCAAACAGATCAAATAGCTGCTTTTTTTTAATATCGTTGTTACTGCTTAACCTTCTTCTTTACATAGCAGAAATTTCATATGAAAACGTTCCTTCAAGAGCAAGATATAATCGTTTTTCCTTACCTATGCAAATGCAAAATACTGGTAAAATACTGCAAAAAAATATTAGGATACGGTAACATGCTAAGTCTGCGCTACTACGTGAAACGCGAGGGCAAAAACAAGTACATCCGGTAGTCTGCTCGTCGTAACTTTTACGCTGATTTGAACCTGATTGGTCTTCTCTACTGAGAAATTGAAAGCGAATAATAGGACAAATGAGATTTTGGCTTGCTCTCAATTTTTATTTTCTGAGGTTAGTTGAAGGTGAGCAAAGAAGTAGTAGTACTTCGTAATGGGTGCAGAAAGAAGTAGTTTACTCATTCTGGAAAGAAGTTGAGATGTTCGAAAATGACCATCTCACTTGAGTGTCCCAATGTTTGGAAACTTCAAAATTCGTTGAAACTTGGACCACAAGGATATTTGACATGCAAATTAAGAAAATGATGCTCTTATGCTTCTGGGATTCTTCTACCATGCTTGTTGTGCGTGTACGACGGCAGGCCGAAACATCAGTGCTGGTATCTTGCACAATGGACCTGTCAGACATTCTTGACTAACATCATGTCGCTAACATCACTAACACCTCGATACGACCCCCCCCCCTCTTCCTGACCCCTTTACGACCCCCAGGTGTGGCGGGCCACACCCCAAGCTTGACCCTTGTTGAGGGTCTTGAGCTCTTGGCAGCATATGATGGTAGGGCCTCCTATCAAGCCAATGCCCAAGTCGCAGTGTAAAATGTAGACGAGAAAATCGCTCCGGAATAAAGAAGATTCACGAGGACCCCCATCCATGCCCGCGCTCCCCCATCCATGCCCGCCCATTTGTGCGCACCCATCCAATCACCGTTCCGGAAAGCCGACATGTGAGTTCTCCGGAACGGTGATTGTCGGGTTTTCGCGGATTCTCGACTTCATATTCGGAATCAGGGACATGAGAAGGCCCTGAAACGACAAAAACCTGGAAGACGAGAACCTGGGTGGACGATGCCTTTAAGTGACATGGTCATTTAAACTTCTGATTTTGTCACTTTAGCATACAAGTGTCTGGGCAAACGGGGTGAATTTTTGCATATATTTTGGAATACTCTCTGAAAGACCATCTCACCATTAAAGGCAGCGTCCAGGCAAGTTTGGACACGTGGGGATCATCTTACGCGGATAGTAATTTTGGGGCCCTAATTAAGCCACTGCCCAACCGGCAGCTCAGATAGTGCTCTAACGGCTGAGATATTCCCCTCAAAACTGGACCCCGCGATCGTATTTCGCATGGATTCATGGCGCAAAGCGGATCCTGGCGCGAAACTGCCGTGAATCCATGCGAATACGATCGCGGGGTCCAGTTTCGAGGGGGATTTCTCAGCCGTTAGAGCACTACCTGCGCTGCCGCTTGGGCAGTGCCTTAGTTAGGGCCCCAAAATTACTATCCGCGTAAGATCCCCACGTGTCCAAACTTGCCTGGACGCTGCCTTTAAACCCCTCGGGTTGATTTTTATTTCTTGCTTTCCTGTTCCATGTACAATGCGTTTGACGGGGCCAGCGCGCGTAGTGCAGTCACACATCTAAGCGCGAGCGCTACCGTGTGTGCTTCGTGCAGGGACCATGCTGCGCACAGCATCGCGGCCTTGTTTTTGATAGTGTATCTTGTAATTTTTCGTTTTTGTAGCGGGGATTGTCATTTTTCTTAGCTTCTATGCTCATATGCGATCTGCCTTGATACCGGATACGATTTTTTTTCGCAGCAAAGGAAGGAGGTATCAAATCTTTGAGCGCTTTTCCTCACGACATCTTTCATTTCATCCAGGCTTCTTCGGATGGCTGATCCTGGATGTCATGATTCATTATATCGAATCGCGTTTCAATTGACATAATCGTATATCGTTTTGGTTGTGTGAACAGCGTCAACGTGCTGTTCACTCAAACTGTTCTCTCAACCTACACGATATACGATCAAATCTTACGATATTCACCTTTAGCTGTAAGGAGGAAAAGCACCAGTCGTTCTCAGAATTCTCAAATGAAATGATTAGACTACTTCTTCTTTGAAAGATCTCAAAACTTCATTTCGTCTTCCATTTGCGCGGTGATACTTTGAGAAGTCTCAGAAAACACTGAAGTAGAGTTTCAGACAGGGGGAGCTCAGAAATTTGAGAGCACAATAGGAAATAAGCTAAGAAAGAGCAGAAAGAGTAGCTAAAACAAGGACTACGCCACTTTGCGCTGCATGGTCCTTGCACGCTGCGCTTAGGTAGCGCTCGCGCGCAGGTGTGTGCCTGCACTACGCGGCGCTGGCCCCGTTGAACGCATTGTATAGTTGACTGCACGAAACTGCCCGGCTGAACGCCCGCGGGCATGTCTCTCACGGCTGACATTGGCATTCGCGCGCATGAGTCATCGTAGCGCCCGTACTCGGCCGCGTTGCAGGCACGCTGCAAGCGCTGTCGCTTGCGAGCGCCTGTAATTCCTCACATTGGTCTCGAGGAAGCTAACAGGAAGCTAGCGTAAAGCTTTCCGAAACGGTTCCAGCACAGTTTCAGACCTGCGCCGGCACTACCATTCACTATGAACGCGGCCTAAAGAAGAGATGCAAAACTCGTAACTGAAAATTTATTATGAGCGGACAGTGAACATACTTACCAGGTTGAGTACGCGCCAGTTTGTGCCCATGGCAGTTCTGCTATTGAATGAGGTGGAAAAGCGACATCCATTTCAGAGGATGCACATTACAATGTTATCAGATGTTTGTTACAGTCAATGCCAATTACGTACTCCCTTTCGCATGGGAACTACGCATGCGCAACACAAGGATCCCGCACGCAGACCTTCAATCGATAAGGCCCACTTAAATGCCAAGTCATATGCGCGCGAACGTGGCGCGAAGCTCACTGCGTTTACGGAAAAGGGAGCACGTGATTGACACGGACAGTATGCTCCTCCTTTTTATAATCGGGGAGTCGACACTACATTCATCACCGCTTCACAATGTAACAAGGATGAGCCAACATGTCGAGCATACTCAACATGTCTTTCGTAACTTCCATAAAAAGACATCCAAAAACAATGTAGCCAACCTTACCTGCCAGGAAGAACAGCAATCAGAAAAAGATTTCACATAAAAGAAGCGTGCAACTGATAGATCACTCTGACTATCTCCGGTCAAGTATCATGTTTTAGGCACTAGTCATGCTTGATCCACTTGATCCACTCATTCGCTTTGCTAATCGATTCACTGATTTGACCAGTAGAAAGGTGGAGGAAGTGGAGTGGACCAATTAGGCGTGTGCCTTACGTTTCATATATAATATGCCACAAATTAATCGCTTGGATAAGCTTCTCAAATAATATTCAGAAAATAAAGAGTTAGCTAAATTAGCTTCCTAATAGCTAACCTTTTGAATGTTCTTCTGAATCTTCTAATGCAGTTTGTTCTTCTGCCATTTTTGCAGGGCCGATTGAGAATACTGCAACGATTAGCGAGAGCCACCAATGATAAATGCTCCAACGATATCTGAATAAATCGATGTTTCGTGACTAGAAGGTCAAGACGATGCACCATATGTTGCCCAAGCTTCGGGTGGACTGGAGCGAATCGAGCGAAAAATGACTCCCGTATTACTAAGAAGCAAGCTATGTTGAATGATTACAATTTACTCAATAAATAATTGCAGATGACGGCGATTTCTGGAGGCAATAACAAGGATTACATAAACGACTAAATTATTGGATTCTAAATCATAACGAGAAAGCGTTTTTCGAATACACTAAAGCTAGCACTGGAAAAATGTATAACATTTATTTCGTTACAGGATTCAAATACACGGGTCAACTGCGGGATCAAGAATGATCGTCCGGGACTTCAATCAGGAAATGCGTAAGCCCAGTAAGTCGCTTATTTGCTAAAAGTAGAAAGCGTTCGGTGTAGGCCGACTGATTTGATCTTCTTCGATTGACACCGCGACACCGCTCCGCCAGCGGTTTGCGCACGTTGTGCGGTAATTACTGGCTTGCTGCCAGCTCCTAATTTCGTTTATTAGCGCGTCCTGATTAGGATCGGCGCTCGCTTTTGAAAGAATGTTAGAATCAAAAGATCAAGTAGTTGTTTCGACAGAGTTACATTGACTTCCTCTGCAACCGAGGCGAACGGTTCTTCGGCAGAGCAGGCTTCATTATCCATTCTGTGACTAAGTTGCTCCAGCACGCTGTTGAACACATTTTTTGACAATAAACATGTTCTCTTTCAAACTTCTGATAAAAAATTACGCAAACGCGTAAACTCACATGCATGAAGTTGGTAACACGACTCGTCTCCTTTGTGTCTCATTTGGAGTGAGCCGGACTGGAGCGGCTATTAGTATCTCGCGCGACCGCCTCCGTGGGCTGCACCTTTTTCGATAGCGTGCTCTCTGATCATTTTCTCACCAACGTAGGAGAAGCCGATCTAGTCGCTAATCAAGCGCGGGAAAATGATTGGAGAGCATGTGTGCGAAAGAGGTGAAAAGCCCAAACATTGCCTAAGCCTGAGCAACCACGCGGAATTCGAGCCACTCGGCTCACTCTACATGAGACAGAGGGTAGTACGCAAAGTGCTCTCGAGTATCGCTGTCTCAGAATGGATAATATGTATAGGTCGCTTGTCAAACCGTGACGACGGATTTGACTGCGGTCTTTGCGCCCACAGGAGCAGAAATCACTCATACAAAACGGCATCACCTCAATGCTCTCTCTTCCAATACCTATATTTATACGCAAGCAGAAAAACCATTCGAGTAGAGATGAAAACCTAAGGGAACGGCCATAGGTTGTCGGTGTTGTCGGTGTTGTCGATGTTGTCGGTGTTGTCGATGTTGTCGGTGTTGTCGGGGTTGTCGGGGTCAGAGATAGTTTAGAGAGCGCGCGAAACGTGGAGGCTATCATGAGGTCCTACAACGACCGCCAATTTCGGCATCCCCGACAACACCGACGACACCGACAACATCGACAACACCGACAACCTATGGCCGTTCCCTAAGAAATGCGGTTGCCGGGAGGTGCGTGCGTATCGCGCGCGTCCAGCCATGGTCACGATTTTTCGGATGCCCTATACTTTATGTTTTAACCCAGTTCAGGCCGGGATTGGATTGGTGGGGATAGAGGAGTCGCCGAAATGGTGCGGTCCGTGCGGCCCTGCAACAAAATATGCACCTTTTCAAGTGCATGGAGCCGCGCTTTTGCAGGAAGCCAGCGCGGGATCCTCCTACATTCGGTGACATAAGTCCTCTACCCGACTGGGCATCCACTTTAACGGTGCGCGCCATCTCCCAGCTATGTATCTTATATATAAAGCTGAATGTCTGTTTGTATGTATGTATGATCGTCTCCACGATTCGTATAGAGGTGTATTGCAGACTTTGCTTGATAAAACAGGTAAACTTGTTGAACCTCCACGTCATAGCATTGTTTTTTGTACTCTCTCGCTATCAATAACCGCCACGCTTTGAGTTGGCAAAACCCCGCCTCTACACGAATCGTGGAGCCGATGATATGTATGTATGTCTGTACGTATGTTCCGAATAGAAAATTCCATTTCTGAACCGATCCGGACCAAACTTGGCACACATACACTACGGGCCTCGGCGGGTGTCATAGGCTACTTTTCGTCATCGATCGATATCGATCTTATCGATTTTTATCGATTTTTTTGCTGAGTTCGCCTACGGGGCTGGGAGTTGGCACAGGGGGGTAATCGAGCATGGGGATTCCGAATACAATATTGGTTTTCAGGATTATCGATTACTTTTATCGATTTTATCGATTTTTTTGCAAAGTTTGAGCTACGGGGTGGGAGTTGGCACAGGGGGGTAATCGAGCATGGGGATTCCGAATACAATATTGGTTTTCAGGATTATCGATTACTTTTATCGATTTTATCGATTTTTTTGCAAAGTTTGAGCTAGGGGGCTAGGAGTTGGCACAGGGGGGTAATCGAGCATGCTGATCATCCCCAAGGGGGGTGATCAGCATGCTTGATTACACCCCTGTGCCAAATTCCAGCCCCGCAGGTCAAACTTTACAAAAAAATCGATAAAATCGATAAAAGTAATGGACGATCCTGAAAACTAATATTGTGTTCGTAATCAGCATGCTCGATTACCCCCCTGTGCAAAATCCCAGCCTCGCATGTCAAAATTTACAAAAAATCGATAAAATCAATAAAAATAATCGATAATTCTGAAAACTAATATTGTATTCGGAATCCCCATGCTCACTTCCCCCCTGTGCCAACTCCTAGCCCTGGAGGTGAACTCTGCAAAAAAAAATCGATAAAAATCGGTAAAATCGACATCGATCGATAACGAAAAGTGGACTGTGACACCCGTCGGGGCCGAAGTGTATGTGTGCCAAGTTTGGTCCGGATACGGCGGAGCCGGGTAAGCCAGCTAGTAGTTGATAGAATCGTAAGCGCAATCCAAAAATGTGCAAATAGGGGAAACCGCGTGGGGGTGCCGAAGCGAACGCTCTTCCAAATAGCACCTTTAGATTATTGGTTCACTAGTCAGCAAGAACACGATCGAGATCAGTTGGAAGTGAGGATCCTGAATGAAGAACGAGAGATGGTCTGACGAGCCAAAGATGACACTTCGCCAGACACCAATCTTATATATAAAGCTGAATGTCTGTTTGTCTGTCTGTCTGTCTGTCTGTCTGTCTGTCTGTATGTCTGTGTGTACGTATGTTCCGAATAGAAAATTCCATTTCTGAACCGATCCGGACCAAACTTGGCATACATACACTTCGGGCCCCGGCGGGTGTCATAGGCTACTTTTCGTCATCGATCGGTATCGATTTTATCGATTTTTATCGATTTTTTTGCTGAGTTCACCTACGGGGCTGGGAGTTGGCACAGGGGGGTAATCGAGCATGGGGATTCCGAATACAATATTGGTTTTCAGGATTATCGATTACTTTTATCGATTTTATCGATTTTTTGCAAAGTTTGAACTAGGGGGCTGGGAGTTGGCACAGGGGGGTAATCGAGCATGCTGATTACGAACACAATATTAGTTTTCAGGATCGTCCATTACTTTTATCGATTTTATCGATTTTTTTGTAAAGTTTGACCTGCGGGGCTGGGAGTTTGCACAGGGGGTAATCGAGCATGCTGATTACGAACACAATATTAGTTTTCAGGATCGTCCATTACTTTTATCGATTTTATCGATTTTTTTGTAAAGTTTGACCTGCGGGGCTGGGAGTTTGCACAGGGGGTAATCGAGCATGCTGATTACGAACACAATATTAGTTTTCAGGATCGTCCATTACTTTTATCGATTTTATCGATTTTTTTGTAAAGTTTGACCTGCGGGGCTGGGAGTTTGCACAGGGGGTAATCGAGCATGCTGATCACCCCCCTTGGGGATGATCAGCATGCTCGATTACCCCCCTGTGCCAACTCCCAGCCCCCTAGCTCAAACTTTGCAAAAAAATCGATAAAATCGATAAAAGTAATGGACGATCTTGAAAACTAATATTGTGTTCGTAATCAGCATGCTCGATTACCCCCTGTGCAAAATCCCAGCCTCGCATGTCAAAATTTACAAAAAAATCGATAAAATCAACAAAAGTAATCGATAATTCTGAAAACTAATATTGTATTCGGAATCCCCATGCTCACTTCCCCCCCCCCCCTGTGCCAACTCCTAGCCCTGTAGGTGAACTCTGCAAAAAAATCGATAAAAATCGGTAAAATCGACATCGATCGATAACGAAAAGTGGACTGTGACACCCGCCGGGGCCCGAAGTGTATGTGTGCCAAGTTTGGTCCGGATACGGCGGAGCCGGGTAAGCCAGCTAGTTCACTACTTGGGGTGGGGGAACGAAAGCCGCCAGGTCCAGCCGCCTCCGCGGACTGCTGGTCCTGGAACGACATGCAACAACGCTGCGAAAGGACCAGCTGGCCGCGAAAGGCGGCTGGACCTGGCGGCTTTCGTTCCTCCACCCACTATATTGCCGTACCGTTGCGCCTCTGGTCTGTATGCTCTGCTCGTCGAGTTATCGCACCACCGATCTGTGAGCAAAGGACGATGAGAGACCTTGAAGAATAAACACATACGCTTACGTAAAGGCTAAAAATTTGAAAAGATCTGAGAGATTTTATTACTCACCCTGCGCTCTTACATCTCCCCCCTTTACGCAAGTCCGTCCTCGGACTTAGGGACGTAGTGGATGTATTGTTGTGTCGTCGAAAAAGTGTAGGTCGGTGGTAAGGTTCTATACGTGCATCATCGGATGACCTCGGTCCATGTTGGGGCGTTCTGCAGAAAGGTTAGAGCGCCTAGAATAAACATATCACAATCTCGGGCCGCGAGAGGGCTACGCTGAGCCGTTTTGGGTCGGAGAAAAAATGGGTTTGGCTGATGGCTTTATGTGCGTGCGTGTTGTGCAAAGGATTACAATAGTTTCTCAACTCCTTAGGCGCTGATGGTACGTTTACGAATGTTCGGTATTTTCGCATTAGGCATGCGGGTGTGTGTTAATAAGAGCTGGCGCTGCTCGGGTGGGGTTTGGGGTTCCACATACTAAAGTGTTTCTATAAAAAAAATTCTGAGTTGAGGTGCATCATTTCGACATGGGATCGGTAGACGATACGAATGATACATGAAGGCATGCCTTGTTTGCTGGTGACGAGGTCGAGGACTGAGCGCATGCTGACGTCCACTGCGAGGGGTACCATTTGCGTGCCAATGTATGGCGGGAGCCGTTTGCTACCCTCTATAAGAGTGAAGCGTGCATGGGGTGGGGGACATTAGGTCGCCGAAAAAGGGCGGTCCCTGCGGTCATTTGCAACAAATGCGCACCCTTGTACATGCGCGGACATGCGTTCCTGCAGGGAATCCGCGCGGGACTCTTCCAAATTCGGCAACCTAATGTCCTCCACCCGCGTGCATGCTGAAATAGTGACATGAGGGCCATAAGTGCAGCTTCTGGAACCAGTGATGCTTCGTCTTTGAGGATGGACGACCACGAGTTTCCTATCCTGCGCCAGGTTCCTTGTTTAAAGGCAGCGTCCACCCAGAATTTGGCCTCCCATGTTTTCTCATTCTGGGGCCTTTCCGTGGCCCTGATTACGGTTCCGAACTTCAAACTCTTCAAAATTCACAAAAAACCTGATTCCTGGGGACCCTGTCTTTGAAGGGGGAGGGGACGGTAGAGAGGTACGATCGCGCGAATTTTTCGCGGAGGCGATGCCGCAACGTACTTAACCGTAACCAATACAACAGCAGCACTCCACGCGCAATGTTACTTATGGCATTGAGTCATGTATCTGCCTCCGCCCCCACCCCCGCGTTTTTGCCGCCGGGAGTCTTTGATATGGGGAGCTGTATGGGTCCCAAGATCGGGGCGCGGTGTGCGCGGCGTATCTCCTAACGTGCAGCCCCCTGTCTTGTGGGCACGGACGAGTTCCGAATTGCTGGTCCTCGTCGGCATGCCAGCGGGGAGAAGCTGCAACTGCATGGGTGCAGTTGCAGCACGTAGTGACATGGCAGTGCGCAGCTTCTGCTCACTGCCATGTCACTACGTGTCGAGAGGCAGACTCTGGCTGGGCGGAGTCTGATTTCAGACTCCGCCCAGCCAGGGAGTTCCAGGCCCCTTATCTCCATTCAGAGACAACGTTAGAAGATCGGACCAACACAAGTGCCCCTTTTCTGGGGCCTACATTTAGGACCGACACTAATCGGAGGGGATTAGGTTTAGCCTGGACACTGCCTTCAAATGTTAGGTCGAGCGCGGAGGATTCTGTGCATAAGACAACATTTGCTTTATTCAAACGCAAAAATTGGCTGATCAATATCTGGATGTTCGTAAAGTAACTTCTTCGAAGAACAGGAGGCGCTTATGCTCGCTGGTATCTACGAATCCATCTGTTCCGGAGAACACAAACTCACGTAACTGCTTGCTGGCCTTGGAGAAGTTCTCGAATTTGCGGTACAGGGCGTCAGGCAGAAGATCCCTGTAGATGACATGAAACTTCTCCATGAGCGTTTGGATGGCGAATGGAGAGGTGGTGAGTGTGTCACTGGCCAGGGTCTCGCTAACATATCGAACTGCGCATATGTTTTTATCCGAGAGTTGCTGAATTTTCGCGCCAATAACGTCTAATGCACTATTTTGTACCGCAGTGACTAAGATCTTCTGACCGTTCTTTACAGCATCCTTGGCCATGACTGCAGTGCACAAGGTTTTTCCTGCACATACGCACTGTCGACCGTGGCTATTGGGTATTGGCACTTGAAAAGGTAGGGCGCCGAGTTGATCCTCATTTGATGTAATGGGCGATTGGCTATAGCAGTCGAATAAGGCTCATATCCCCTTCGCTAGTGAGGACTACCGGGAGGACCACGATCAGCCTCTCTCTGATAGGGCCTTATAGCTTGCCCCCACTAACTACTAGCCTCAGCTGGACGTCAGCCGAGAGGAGCGCACGGGCTGACGTCCAGCTGAGGCTAGTAATTAGTGGGGGCAAGCTATAAGGGAACGCCCGTAAAAGAGCTCGGACCTGGGAGGAGTTGCAGGTGCGCTTCATTGCCATTTCGATTAGAGCACCGTTATTCGACTGGAGCGCACTATCTCCAAACACTTACGTTTCACAGATTTGAGCCGTTTCTAGATACAGCGATAACTACATGTATATCCTCTTGCATCCTTGCATCTGATCATGCTCCATTCGACTCCACGATCACTGTCTGTGCATTTATTGTTTGTTCTGTCTTCGTTTATACTTTTATTATCGTCTCCTTTTCACAGATGAGTGATGACTGTTCGAGCTCTTCCAATAGGAAAGCGCAAGAAGTCTGGTAATGGCGTGATTATGAAAACAACCGTTTCTTCCAAACTTCAGAAAGAGGATGTCCGGCTCAGTCATTAGCGAATAGCATTAGCGAATGTCTTGTTTTGAGTACTGTTATCTCCAAACCACGCCACGTCTTCTTCTTCTACAGTGTCGTCATCGTGTTCGCTTCTATCCGACTCCACCACACTATTCGACGTCTCATAGTGAAGTTATGGCCATGCAATGCGCGCCGACGGGCATCGCGTTGAGAGCAATCTGCAGGTAGTCACAAGAAACTCTTTTTTATGTTTGCCGTAAATCATTTTTGAATATCTAATTTCTTAAAAGAAGTGCTCATGAAGCAGCCTTGCGGCATTTGTTGTTTTTTTCACCATCGCTGTTCTTTTTCTCAAGTGCGTTACAAGTTCGAAAAAAGAGTTCCATTTTCCAGCCGGATTCTGGAAACTCATGCTTTTTCTCGTAAACTCAGCAATATCATATCAGCTACATCTCAACGTTTCTCCTGCCGTTGTGCAAGACGCTATTTATCAACATTAGCCACAAGTTTTTCTGTATATCGCTTTTTTTCGATATCCATTCTCCTCAGCCAATTGCATTCCCTCTGATCAGCTTGATTCTGTCTTCTGTTTTCTTTTTTGTCGCACTAATATTATCCAAGAAAGAGATTATGCAATTCTGAACATAACCAAAGACAAACTGCACGTCAAAATTCTTTCTCTCGCTTGAAAATGATTGAGATATATCCGTTTCGTAAACCAATCTCTTTTTCCTTTATTCTCAATCTGAGAATGAGTAGCATGTGAACAAGTGCAGCAGCAGTCTCATGTGTTAACTATCTTTAATCTTCTGAATATGTGGTGATTTCTGTCGATTGAATCCTAGATTTTTGCTGCTTATGCAATGCCCTTTTCTTACCAGTGTTCTGATTATGAATTTTTTCATTTGGAAACGCAATATCTATCAGAAATGATGCCACTCGCTCGGAATTCAGATATTTCATCATCGCATCTCCGCCAAAGATTCTTCTTATGTTTAATAGCTCTTTTCTGATTTAATTTCCGGTCGATGTGTTTCGAGTGAGTCAGTTTGAGCGCTGCTATATGTTATCGGCGCTGATTTTATCATTGCATCGTTAGGAAATCGATTGGAAAATCGATTGCTAATCGATTTTCCAATCGATTAGCAAATGATCCGTAAGATGGGCCGAGTGCGGATATCGCCAAACGTTTTTGTGACCAACACTGACATTTATGTAAACGCAGTGTTATTTAAAAGATCGAAAGGTGCGCTGTAGTTCTATTGAGCACATACATTGTCACTGCAGAAGACAGAACAAACAATAAATGCACAGACAGTGATCGTGGAGTCGAATGGAGCATGATCAGATGCAAGGATGCAAGAGGATATACATGTAGTTATCGCTGTATCTAGAAACGGCTCAAATCTGTGAAACGTAAGTGTTTGGAGATAGTGCGCTCCAGTCGAATAACGGTGCTCTAATCGAAATGGCAATGGAGCGCACCTGCAACTCCTCCCAGGTCCGAGCTCTTTTACGGGCGTTCGCTATAAGGCCCTATCAGAGAGAGGCTGGTCGTGGTTCCTTTGGTGGTAGCAGCGAGTTCGGGCTTTAAAAGCCCGCGTTTTCACCGACCTTCCTCTCATTAGGGTGAACTCTCAAGGATAGTCTGGAGATGACCGGTCCGCCTTAACTGGGAAGAAAGAATCTACTTAGGTAAGTTTTTGGGTTTGGACTGATCACCCAAGATTAGAGGAACCATGATCAGCCTCTCTCTGATCGGACCTTATAGCTTGTCCCACTGATTACTAGCCTCAGCTGCACAGCAAACGAACACATCAATGAGATATACATTATGGGCAAGCACGGAACGACAATGCATAACATCAACAAGAACACGATCGAGATCAGTCGGAAGTGAGGATCCTGAATGAAGCACGAGAGATGGGTCTGGCGACCCAAAGAGACACGTCGCCAGACACCCATTTACCACACTGCCATACCGTTCCGCCTCTGGTCTTTATGCTCTGCTTGTCGAGTTATCGCACCACCGGCCTGTAAGCAAAGTGCGAAGAGAGAGAGCCTAGAAGAATAAACACATAGCTTACGTAAAGGCTAAGAATTTGAAAAGATCCGAGAAATCTTATTACTCACTCTGCGCTCTTACATCCACCTTACAAATTTATTCTGTAACTAAGAGACGCAAAACCGCTTTGCAAGCTTCATCAAAACAAGCTTGATAGTGTGGTTAACAAGTTTGCGATGCTTTGTCTGTCTGTTTAACATACGATTATCTGCTACTTGGTTGCTCTGCATGTGCACGCGTAAATTATTGTCAGGAAACTACAGCGACGTGGTCGCACACTATGTTAATTTTGGTCTGATCCGGCTCGGGACAGAGCAGATATGATGTGTTCTTGAGTTAGTACAAAGCATTGTGGACTTTTGATAAAGTTGATAAAATGCTGAAGCTTCATGTTTGACATTACTACCTCTCAAAACATGCCACTATCTGAGTTGTCAGATCTTCACCTTCATATATCTCGGAATTGATGATACAAGTGCAAATAATTTTTTCTAGCAGTTCAATTCACAACCGGGTTCTTTCCAGCTGTTCATCAGAAATTGGCCGAATTGACGCAGTCAACTAGATCATAAAGTTTTTAATGCGCCTCTTCCCGCTTACGCAGGTCTGACCTTCTTGTGACTTTTATAACCTTTTTCATGCAACCAGGTCTTTCCTATGGGGCTTGTCGCATGCCTTTTTCGAAGAGGAGACTTTTGCAGCCCGAAACGAGGACGCAAGAGCGCCGAGCATACTTTGGACCGGAACGAATGATTATTCAATTATTGGAAAAATACAGAAGATTAGAAAATTCGATATCCTTCGCAAATACAGAGTGTCCCGAAAGTCAAACGCTTCTGATAGCTAACATCTCCCTGCATTTTCCCAGCTTTGCTTACCATTCTGTAGGGTCCGCTTCAGCTTATATACACAGCAAAAGACGGACCACCCATATTTTCTAATTAAAAATTGTCAAAACCTCTCTATAGAAAAACAAACAAGCAGTTTGATTTTTATGACTTACAATTTGTAATAAAACAGCACCATAATAAAACGCTATCTACATGCACAGGCAAAATGGGAAGCAGGAGGATTTACTGGGTCAATCACAATTCATTTTTATGGCTTAAAACATTTTCATAATGCGACAGCTCCACTTTTAAGCATGACGTTGTTCACTTGCTTCATATGCACTTCCACATGGTCTTGGAAGCAATTGTAGTTCTTCGGGGAGATCTGTAATACATGTTTTGAAAGAAGATGTAACAACATTCTCTCAAACTGGTTTGATTCAGGGAAGGGGGGCTCTCTCAATTTTAATGTAATTGGGAAGCAAATCACAACTTGAAAATGATGCAACGAAAATAGACTGATTATTTAGCCCGCCACCGAACCTCAAGCCTTTCCACTCAGAATACCGCACAATTCAATAAATTTGGTGTCATCACACCATCTACAGAATTAGCATTCGGATCTCCTCTCATCTTCTCCACTAGCCTGTCCAACATTATTTGATCATTAGCACTGATGTTTGGATGGCCGCATACTTGCTCTTGCTCGAGCCCTTACACTAGTGAAAGATCACCCCTGAATGTTTGCCCTAACTCATGTGCGAGACTTCAGACATTAACCCTTTTAGCCGTTTCAAAATGGTCTTTTCTTTTTTTTCCTGAATTTTGACGGGTCAGGATGTGGAGCATTAGGGTGTCACTATTGCCAGCTATCGTTATTTTTGACATATACCCGATTTAGTTAATCTGACCCATTTACTACAAAACCGCTTCCGCATCTGCCGACTACAGATGATTTGAGTGGTTTCTGACTTAAGTTCAAATATTCAAAGACATTCACCATTTGACGAAGTTCGCTGATAGACTCATTCAATGAGGTAAGGTCTATTGGGGTCATTTTTTGCTGACCAAGTGAGCGGATCTGAAGCAGTGGGAATTACAAATTAGCCAGCATTGGGCAATTATGTGTAACCCACCTGTAATAAAAGCGATGTTAAAGCAGTGATGAGCCGCACTGCTTGTGGGTTAGACACATTTAAGTCACGGTTGCAATGTTTGAAGATCTGATTAGCATGCGAAGAGCACATCCGGCGTAATGCTTCAGGTCGAGCACTAATGTTCACCTTAACGTAGCTAGTCTAAAGGAAGCCGACTAGGAACATCTACTGAAAAACTACCTCGCTGAGCTGCGGAAGTAACTGCGAGTTATATTCTTGTATACCATTGAGGTAGATGTTTACCTGTCGGTTCACCGTCTCCAAATCAACAACGGTACGTGCATAACGTTCCTAAAGATGCTAATAAAAGTGAGATCAAAATATGGTTCTTGAAGACCTGCAATTAACAAATACGCAGTGAGCTAAGGACTTCACGATTGGCTTGCTTTTTTTTAAAATAGTGTTAGACGACTTTCTTGAGTCCAGATAAAGCAATTTTCGCATCTTTGCAGTGGTGTACACACTTTCGTCTCCAGCAAACCGTTTATATCTTTTCGTTATGTTGTTTCTCTGATCGCGTGCTGTTCGTTTCTTTTGTCATCTGCTGTCTCTCCCATGTACGAACTACTTTGGCCGGACGCAGTGACGCCCAGACTTTGCGTGTCATGAATCGTGTATAGCTCATGTCGATTGCGGCCCAATCACAATGACATTAAAAAAACTTCAGAGAGATTCCTCTAGAGAAAATCGGCACCGAGGGGCATGTATGAGCTTGGTGCTTACTTTTTGTTGGATTGCCTGAACACGGCAGTGAGACATCGGGCGCGGTTCCTTTCATGACAATTTTTTGCAAGAAAAAGAATGGAATAATCCTGCCTTCCCTTTCAATAGTCTAGCACTAGTAACAAGACTTCAATATCGTAGCGGGTAAGAATAACCACTCAACTGCTTTAGACTGCTTAAGATAGTGACTCGACGAATCGCAGGAATTTCTTTCATCCACTTAATCAAATGCTACGTGCAAAACTGCGCCTTGCAACTTTAAAAATGTCGAGGGATAGCTTTTCTAAAATTTTTCGGCAAACCCATTTGAGCATGGCTACAACCGAAGAGCTATCATCAATTAAGAAATGATAAACAAACTCACTTGAAAGATAGGCGTGTACTTGTCCGTAAGAATACTTTCCCTCTCAGCTTCGTTATTTAATTCCGTCAAAGTTTTCACTAGTTTTTTCTTTATGTCTAGCAACTTGGCCACCTTCACCAAAATGACTAGCATACGGACAGGAAAATTCCCAACTTTCTCATCTAGAGAAAAACTTTGATAGAGAAACCACCCTCTGAAAGCACTCACGATTTGCTTCGGAAGATTTCCTTTGCTTGGTAGGATACGTGACAGGTACTGAAAAAAGTCTTCTTTAAATCAAAACAGAGAGGGTTTTCTTACGGTGCAAATAGTTACATCGAAGTGGTATGCAGAACAACCGTAACCTACAAACCTGCTCGCGAAACTGTCATTGGCACAGGTAATCGCGCGTTATTCTGTTGCAGAAAATACGATAGGGAAAGCAGCTCCAAAGAGCCGTCATACATGACTTCGTAATCGGGGACGAACGCTGGAGGAATCATGTCTTCCTGAATGTTTGTCGTGACAATCATTCAACCGGATATCCACCAAAGATAAAGATTAAAGAAAAAGATGGTGTGGTAAAAGAAACCAACCTTGTCGAAAACAATCCGATATCCGCCTCCTCCTACGAGAGCGTCGATGGTACCTCCGTATATGCCATCCTTCGGTGTGCGCAACCTCGCATAAACCTGAATCACATGTGAACATCTGTGTTAACGAGTTAAAGGCCCATTCAAGATGAGAGTGTAAGATTTTGAGACTGTATAACAGCCCCCCCCCTAACTAGGTATTCGCCCAACTCAGGCTGCAAAACATGAAGTCCAAACTGAGAAAAGTGCTCCAGAAGGTAGAAGCAGCGATGGTGACTACGCCCATAAACGTGACGTTTTGAAGATGGTCAAGAGAAATGTCGAGAATCAACTGTTATAATGAAGAGCGGGTCCCACTTCCACATACTAGCTCACTCTAGGACTCTACAGAAATGCCCGTTGATGAAAGGAGCCGAGGGTAGAAGGCGAACACCTCAATTGAGCAGCGCCTCCGCGGGCTGCTCCGGAACGAACAGCTTAATTAGTCAGCGCCTCCGCGGAGTGCTGGTCCCCTTGTCCTACTGTTGTGCTCGTGTGTTAGGACCGCAGTCCGCGGAGGCAGTGTCTAATTGAGGTGCTCGTTCCTCCGCCCCACCACGTCCCCTTCTACCTTCTGTTTTTCTCACTTCGAAGTTCATCTTTTGCAGCAGATCTTAAGCTCGCCATTATACAGCATCAAAATTTCATCAGCCTTGGTTTGGCGGTTCCTTCGGGGATTGGACGGCTTGACTGCGGGTAGAGGAACGAACACCTCAATTAGAGACCGCCTTCGCGGGCTGCTGATCCTTTTGTCCTACTGTTGTGCATCTTGCTGGGACCAGTGGTCCGTGGAGGCGGTGCCTAATTGAGGTGTTCGTTCCTCCACCCACAAAGCTTATCAATTGTAGTGTCGGGTGTCACCAGCATTCCACACCCGCGCGGGATTGCACCTCGTCCGCGAACATGCTCTCGAATCACACCCAATCAAATGAGGCTCTCTGATCACTTTCCCACGCTCGCGGTGGGAAAGTGATCAGAGAGTATGTTTGCGAAAGAGCAGATCCAGGCGAAATGGCAGTGCGGGAGCGGAGATGCTGGTGCACCCGACACTGCAGTTGATAAGCCCTGTATCTTCTCATTTTAGTATAGTATATCTGGTACCAAGAATTCATACTTCACGAGACACAGAAGGTCTCCTTCGTAACAACTACGAGAAGATGGAGGATAGCAAGGGCATATGCCATACCCCTCCCCCTTTCTTGTTTTCGGCCCAACCACTCAAGCCTGGATTGGACACACGCCGTATTAAAGGGCGTCCGGGCAAATTCGGACATTTTCGAAAACTATTATAACCGAGTACTAAGGCCTGGATCTAAAACTATCGCGCAAATCCAACTTTCGAACTCATACTAGCCCCCTGCAAAAGGAGAAAATGGAGCAGAAAAGGCCGAACCTTGAAGACCACGCCCACTCCTTCGCATGGGTCGGCCCCTTGAATGAACTCTCTCCAGCCCTTGACGTGTTTTCACATGGCAAACAATCAAACACATAGTGTCCACCTGTTGATAGTTGCTTTCGACAAGGATAGCGTTAGGAGCACTCGTCCACGGTTTTAGAAAATTGTCCCAAAAATGGAGTTTCTTGAGGAATTCACGCATTTTGAGTGCTACATTTGGAATCAGCGCCATGAGAAAGTCAGGATAAGGCAAGAAAAAAGTCGCGGTCTGCGTGGACGCTGCCTTTAATCCACATCCGCTTGATCCACTTCATCCACTTCGCTATTCGTCATATCGACTGACCAATAGCGAAGTAAATGAAGTGGAGAGTGGTCCAACTGGGCATCCACTTCGCTTTTGGTTGGTTCACTGATTTGACTAACAGCGAAGCGGATCAAGTATGGCGCGTGCCGTACTCTTGATGCAGATTATAATCAGCTAGAGACTGACAGCACCTTCATTCCAACAACTAATGGCGCAGGTAGGTTCGGAGGCATATCGCTGAGATCGCAATTCGCCAGAGAGGTGTAAGAGCCATCGTAGATTCCACGCACTTTCCGTCTTCTCTGATCCAATATTCGTCGTTCTTCCTCGAAAAATGTTGAGCTGCAACGACGGGGCTTGCCTGAATTTGCATTTGTCGTCTAAAAAGGTCTTTTCAGCCAGGTATAACATCTAATAACGAACCTAGAAGGCGACGCACTACTCGCCACTCTTGTTTGTTCATCAGCATGGTTTTGAGGTTTGGAAATGCTTCTCTTATAAGTTGTCTGAACTCGTTATCGCCCAAAAATAGTTGTTCATCTACACCAGAATAGAAAAACTCGCAAATCACCCATCGTCTAGCCTGAATCGTGCCGTAAGCTGATCCCAGAAAAGATCAAGACATAGGTCTTTACAAGAATGCTAAAGATAGATACGAACGAGAATAGCGCAAAAGGAAGGGGTCAACAGTTCATGGAGGGACTACGCCATCGAAGCAACCACCATGAAGCGCAAACACATTGTCGAGACAGACGCCCAGTTTGCCACTCAACAATAGAGATGGAAAATTTGGAAAACCCCCAAGAGATCATAATAAAATTTGCAAACTGCAACACACTGGTAGAGAAACTGCTAATTATCTTTATTTATGGAACCACAACTGCGCCAGTTACGTACTTTTTGCAGCGTAGGTACTATGCATCTGCATCGCGAGGGCCTTGCATGATCTTCATCGATGAGGCCAATATTAATGCCCAAGCCATACGCGCGCGAACGTGGCGCGAAGCTCTAGCGTAGCGATTGCGCGGATGCAAAAGGGAATATGCAATTGATACAGACTGTAAGATAGATCTACGACTTACCTTGGGAAGTTTCAGGAGGTTTCGTATACGCCTCAAATTGCACTGAAGCTCAGTACCAATCTCATTTTGCGACTTATGCCTAAATCAAGGCAATTTTAGTTGAAATATTTTATTAACTTCAAAAGCAGCAACGTCTCAACCACGAAAAAGTATGGTCAACCTACCGTGCTATTTTCTTGAGTAAAGCATTCCTTGTGGCTTCGGAAGCATCGTCGTCGAATGATGAGCGCGAAGACTCCGGGGTATTGGAATAGGACTCTTCCACCACTCGTGAAACCTGTTGAAGAATTTCTTATCTATGTAACTCGTGATCCCAAATCGAGTCAGAAACCTAGCAAAACGAGTTGCATAATCAAGTTGCGCTCATGTACTTTTATTTTTACTCGGTAACATCTACGCCTTATACTGGCATCTAGATATCTCGGAGTTTTATAACTACAGCCACATGATGCTAGTTAAAGCGAACACAACTCTTAAATTGGTGCAAGCGAAGGCCATAGTATTCAGTGGGCTAACAGTTAGGGTAGATGCTGCGAAGTTCCTGGTGTTTTTGTACGTTTCAAAAACACCTTTCTGTGCCCTCAAGAGAACAGGATTGCATTCAACGCAAATCAAGTATAAAGATAAAGCGCATCAAAAGTGGTGTTTCATCAGCTGACTTAAAATAGGATAAACGGACACCAAACAATGCTTACATTTCTGGAATGTTGCTGATATCCAGAATGTCTGGTGACCACAGTCGGTGCAATGTAGGAATTTGTTTGCAACTAAAACAACACATACAAAAAAGATATACTTCAAAGTTTTCACAGATTACCTCGTTTCGAATGCTTGCAAATGAAGTGGCATTGACGTCGGCAGTATTCTATAAATAAGTGAAAGACGTGCAACTTTTGTAAAGTGTTCAAGGTCGCACACACCAGAAGCATGACGGGTGATTTCCTATCAAGAATGTTTTCCATTTTTGGCATTTCGATAAGCTGCCCACTCCTGCGAGCAGCTGTGGAATTAGAATGCGAAATGTTCTCCTGTAGTGGACCTGGGACGGGTGAAGCCTGATGCTGTATATGTGTAGCACTTGTATCCAGAACTCTCCGTGCAGACGAACCAGGAGCAACAATATGACTAAATAATGTGACTTCGAACTGGCATTATTATTCATTTCATGGCCCAGTGGTCCAGAGCAGAGCACTAAATCGATTTTGGATCCAGCAAAGATGCAGATAAGTTTCGAAGTACTAAAAATGCATATCGTATCGCGGGAATCCGATTACGGATTCAATATCCAAACTCAATGACCACATAATCAAATATCAAGGAGAGACATATATTTCACATGCGCAACTGAGATAGACAGTACAACTAAGAATAGTAACGATGAATTGTTTGATATCATTAATTCAAATACTGCCATATACACTTTCATTGAGAAGGAAAAGTAAAGAATCAGCTGATTCAAGGTAAAAGAATGAGCAGGATTTCCCGTAATCAGGAGAGGCCTGAGATGAGGAAAAAGAAAAAAGAAGACGATCAATAAAGTGATCTAGGAACACTCACCCAGATTTTGCAGGACTTCTAAGTTTTGCTGGTGTTCTTGCACGTAATGGAGCCACTTCGATTTCTTCATCTCTGTATCGCGAAGGAAGTTTAGAAGAATCGCGCAACTTGTAAGGCGAGGCCTTTTCACGATTCTACAAAAAGTGTTCACTCGATTATTACAACACTCAAATAAAAAAACCGTTATAACTTATAAATATATATAAAATCGAAGCAGTGTCACTATACAGCTGTAGTTGGCGTGGCTCTTTTAGACTTGCTTTTTCAAATGCTATTCTTACCACATGTAGAAGTCTGGTTAGCAGGTAACGAGTTCTACCCGATTGTATTGTATTACAGGCTAAACTTTGTGTTTGTGTTTCTGACGATGAGTTCTTTTTTAATGGCGCATCTTGGGCCCATATAATCAAATAGAAATAAATGAAATAAAATAAAACCACTTGGTAACAAAAGTACAAAATGAGGAACTGACCACCGGATGTGGAATCGCAGCGACCTTTTTCCGAGGCGGGCTTTTCACGGGAGACCGATTGCTCATGTTAGATCAAACCTCGAGCCTATATCCTGAATAAGGTATTACGAATGCAATAGGCTTCATTATAAAATATACCAATCGTACACATGAGAAAGATGTCGCGAAACTTGTTTTGTAATTCGCGGCAATCGATGTTCTGCATTGCGGAACCCGCCAATTTGTGCCGTCTTTTATGCAAGGGTGTCGGAGAAGTCATGCTTACAAGTTGTAGGTTCCAAGTTTTATTATGTAAGGGAGTGTTTCTCACTTATTTGAGGCAACAATACAAAGAAGGGCCAAAATGATTTGGATTGGTCAACCTAAATTTGCTAAGGTTTGTTCTATGGGGTTCCCTCGGACCAGGACAATTCAGATGTGCATCGCACGCAGAAATCATGTGTTTTATATCATTTCACTAGTTTAAGGTTTGGACTCACTCGATATTGAGAGGAACAAGTAGGACTTACATGTGGTTCATCAGTATTATCTCCTGCTAGTCCATGAGTGCCCTGAATGTTGTTTCCATGAAGCAGTTCTACGCAAATGCCCATTACCTCCACATCCGGCATGACTTGCACATGCGTAGGCTGAAATCCTTTTATTGGGCAAAAGCAGAGGGGATTTCGCACAAACGCGAAAATATGACCTCCACTTCATGCTCTGACACGATTTCACATAGCGCGGGAATTCAAAATTGTGCCGTACGAAGGGGGTGTGGCGCGGAAGGCGACAATTCCCAATTTTTGTGCCTTTCAAAACTCCTCGGTGCCAAAGTGACACGGGGCAAAGGTAGGAGGGTGGGGGCAGATACATGACTCGATGCCACAAGCAAAATTCTGTAAAAGTTTGCAAGAGCAATTTTACACTGCTTGCATTTTGCGCGCATTGTCGCCTTCCGCGTGCCCCCCGTACGAAGGCACCTATCATTCATTTTGTGACTAACAATGAGAAATTCGGAACCACTTTTCACAAATTGTGTAAAGAACTTGAGCTTGTTCTTGGTTTTAAGTGTAATTAAGACTAGATCAGACACAGTCAGTGTCAATCAGTGCTCCCTTCTCCGTAAGTAGAGTGAGCTTTGCGCCACGTTCGCTTGTGGAGCGCTCTTTTATTCCTGTTGCCGTGTGCCGTCCCTCTCACGCAACGAGCTACCTTCGTCGGACGCCAGAGCGTCCAATCCGTGCGTGCGATGAATCGCCTATACGTAATTGACATTGGCTGTAGACCACATAGACTAGTTAAAGGCAGCGTCCACATTTCGGCTGTGACGTTCAAACTTCGGAAAGCTCCAAAATTGGCCTTTCTAGAGCTCTATTTTGACGGACGTGGACGAGCGCCCGGGCGCTACTCACGTCGTATGCTTCGAGAAACCTTGTCATGCAACAGTGCCATATCACAAACCATGCGTCTCGACATTGCTTGTCGTGTCAGAAAACGTCATGGAGCAATCCATGAGTGGGAGGAGCGCAAATAAGGGGCGGAGCACAAAGAAAGAGGATCCAGGTATCCAGGTCCGTTATCCCATTATGTAGGCAACATTAGAGGACCGAAACAACGCGGTTGGTCTACTTCTAGGGCCTGCTAGTAGAACAAGTAGTAGCATGGTATGAATGTATTTTAGGCGGACACTGCCTTTGAAGGCAACGTCCAGGCAGATTTGGACACATGGGTATTCTGGAATTGCTTTTGGGGTCTAATTAATACACTGTCCAAGCGGCAGCGCAGATGGTGCACACGCGGCTGAGATATCCCCCCCCCCCCACCAGACTCCGATATGTATTTGGGGGACGACTTACTCCGGTTGCTTGCCATCTCGCGTGGACCCATCGCTCACGTACTGGTCCCCGCGCAATACCCTGCAAGTCGAAGTAAGTCGTCCGCTGAGTACGGTACTGGAAACAGGTGCCTGGACGCCCTAAAGGAAGGAAAACGATTTGAAAGCGGGGAAACTTACGCCTTGGTACGGGGTCGTCTTCCGACCTGTTTGAATTCCTGCTATGCGGCAGAGTACGCAAGCCGCCACCCCAGTTAATAAAATAGGTTCACGCAGCGACTTTGCGGGACCCTACGTTTGGCTCTTTCGCCTTGGTCTCACCTTTTTACATCAAATTTGGTTCAAAATGGTAGGAAGCAGTGGTGTACCCAGGATTTCCGCTCGGGGGGGGGGCGACAAAAATTTTTTTATTCTGATGAAGATGCGTGGCGTCAACCACGCACTCCGAAAATTTTTTTGGTATTCTTGCCAAGATTTTTTCGTCCCCTTACCCCAACATTCAGAAAAAGGGGGGCGTGGCGTCATCCACGCCCCCGAAAATTTTTTTATAAGGCGAAGTTGAGCTATTAAAAAATTAAAAAAATATTTCAATTATTTACTAGTATAAACAAGTGATTTGCACATGTTATAATTCATTGTAGGTGACTTTCGAAAACATCGCGACCCATTCTTCGGGGGGAGGGGGGAGGCGCCCCCCCCCCCCGTTCCTCCTCCTCGGTACGCCACTGGTAGGAAGTAATGCAAAAGTATGTTGAGCTTTTGAAAACAATATCCCATAACATGGAATGGCAAGGCTGAGTTTTAACCTGCTTACCCCTTGAAGGCAGAAAAATGTCCCCGCAAAATGAAGGGTGCCGTGATTCTAATGCACTGCAATGGTGAGCTTTCCAAATAATCTATCAGTAAAGTCAAGAGCGAAAAAGGGCGTCTGGGAAGCTTGGATTCCCCTTTGGAATTTACGGACCCCGTCTTTTCGTTCCGGACTACGCCCACTTATGCTGTGTATTAGTACTTCCCTTGGCAGTTTTTTCTATCGTGAGTTATTGGCAATCAATAACCGATGCTAATTAGTGAAACGCCACTGGCTTACCCCGTGGACACTCGCAGGTGAGAGATCCGTATTCCGACGTGAGAGGGGCGTGGCCCCGAGGCTCTCTGAGGATCGATTTGGCCAATGGGATGGGTGTGGTCATATATAATACCCAGGGGACATACGCCGATGAGAGATCGGAGTCTCAGATATTGAGGGATGCGGTACAGGAGGGACCAAAGGCCTGCCTTGTAGCCGTAGGAGATAATGGAGCGCTAGCGTTGTGAATGAGAGGTGAGGATCCAGGAAAACTTGACGAGGACATCTACTCAGATAATCGCCGGGAGCAGGCGGTAACCCGCGCTTTTCTGCAAGCGGTCAGCAAAATTCTGAGGCGTGGCTAAACCTTCGGCGAGCGGTACCTCCATCTTCTGCTGGCTGGCAGCAATACAAAATTTTTGCAGGCGCTCGTCAAATAAATCTCTTTCAGCGAGCGGGGCCAAATCAGCAGGCACCATACGTGTGCAAAGGGGGAACATGGTCTCTCCAGGGTGAAGGGGGTCATAGGGGTCCCGCCTCTCCAGGGTGAAGGAGGTATAGGGCCGACGGGAGGGGGGGGGGGGGGAGAAGGGAGCGGCCGCCGCTGTCAAAACCCGTCGACCGGGGGGGGGCAATGTTCGTCATCATTGCTTCTCATGTTCTTTTCATTCACATGCATCAAGTGAAATTGTAGCCAAACCGGGTTAAAGTCGAATATTAGGTCTTACCTGCTAAAATTCGAACGAGGAAAAGTGGAAGAAGTGAGACTAAGAAATCAACATTTTGAGCAAAATTGTAGAACTGTCGGCACTATTAAAATTAAATATAGTGACATGTTGATTCTAAATATTATTTTTATGATTGTCAAAACTTATTTGCAAGTTTACTGAAAAGTACGTCGGAAAATTGCTGCCTATTGTTCACTTTTAGAGAACGATGAAAAAGCCTTGAAAAAATTTACGTGTGAAGCCTTCGTGTATATATGTCAATGAAATTACTCACGTATTTGCTGAAATAATAAGTGAAATAATAAATGAACTTTGATGATAGTTGCGCAGTCGAATTGCATTTTTTTGAGGGGAATAAATTTTCTAAGCAGATGGTGGAATCGTGAAAAGTCATTGATTAATTCCTTAAAGAGTCATTTTCCCAACTTTTAATATTATTTCTAAACTCTGACAGAGATCGTAACGTGTGCGTAGAGAAGAAAGTGCAACCAACGGCACGTATCACATCGAAGACTTACAAGGGAACGATACTCAATGTCCGTGGCCTTTTAAGACGAGATGTATACCATTACACTCGCCTTTGAACGCTGATTCCGACTCTGACTTCCGTTTCTGCTAATCGTTTCTCTGAAGGAAGTTATGGAGGAATTTCGAGCCAACTTTATCCGCCCAAAGGTATGGTCACCAGAACGGCCTCTACCGGCGCCATGTTATTGTCTAGTGGTTAGTGTGATAGCTTCATAACTTGATACAGGTGTAGGTTCAAATCCTTTTTATTTTGCACTACCTCAATCAAAGTTGTTCGAGATTCACTCGAATTATGGTCATTGGATACATTTTAACGCAAATAGTAAGTTTTTTCCAAATTTCCACATTTTTTGAAGAGTAAGGGCGTTCAGTTAGCTCGAAGATGCAAAAGAGGGTTTATTGAGTCAATGCAAAACTGAAAAACACAAGAGGATTCGAACCTACACCTGCATCAACTCATGGGTCTATCGGCTAACCACTAAACCACACCGCACCGTCGCTGTTGTCGCTTCAAACATATTTCAGTGAACAGCCAAACTCCGCGCGATCCATGATAAAATCTTTGAAGCGATTAGCAGAAACGGAAGTCAGATTCGGAATCAGCGTTCCAAGACGAGTGTAATGGTATGCAACTCATCTCAAAAAGCCACGGACACCGAGTATCGTTTCCTTGTTAGCGTAATCAGGGTTAGTCTTACTGTCAGAATGCTATAGCTACGAGGATCGTGGAGTTCTACAATTCCCCTACTTGGACGAGGAAGGACAGGAGATGCATTTTTCCACGTTGGAGCACTATACAAGAAGAGAAGAACGAGCGTATATGATTACTGCCGCACTTTTTCTATAAAAATTGTAACTTTTTCATATGAGAAGATAGGAGAGTTTCTAGCTCTATACATTGAATTACTCTTGTTGAAAGCGTTCAGAAAATATATAACTTACCAAAAAAGAAAGAATTTTCCTGTAGGGTGAAGGTGGTCGTAATTGCTTTTCTAAAATTAAGGGAATTTTTTTAATAAAAATCCATAACTTTACTATATGAAAGCTAGAAGAGTCTTTTGCAATCTACTGGAATCCAGTCGTCGTCCGCTTTTTGAAAGTGTGTAGGTTGCCAAAAAAAGGGAATTTTCTTAGCGGGTGAAAGGGGTCGTAGTCGTTTTTCCGGAATTAAGCCAATTCTTAATCTAAAAAATTTATAACATTTTTATATGAGAAGCTAGGAGAATGCTTAGGTATTCATTGAATTCCTCTCGTCGTCTGCTTTCAAATTTATAAGTTGTAGGGAAAGGGATGCTAAAAGTACGTGGTGAAGGTGGGGGAGGGGGACATGGTATAATGGAAATCTTCCTTTCTGTACTCCAAAAACGTCGTTTTAAGGAGCTAAAGGAACATGCCCATTATACCACGTCCCCCCCCCCCCCACCTTCACCACGTACTTTTAGCATCCCTCTCCCTACAATCTATATATTTTCTGAAAGGGGCGACGAGAGAAATTCAACGA